GTTGCACTTACAAGTTTTATGCAAGTGAGACGTGGTAGTCTCAAAACTGCAAACAAAACAAATTCCTGGCAAAACTTCAATGGCAAGAAAACATGCACACACTCAATGTGTAGGCAGGTCCATACAAATAAAAGTTAAGGAGATAGAGGACCTGCCTAGTAGATGGTACATAATGAACTCCAATATGTAGGAAGAAAGAGAGAAAGAAGAGGTAAAGTGGAAGAAAGATTTCAAGATGGGACAAAGATACAAACCCCCCAAAAACCCCACACCAACAAATTCACGGTCTATGAAAAGGACTGAGACTACAAAGTGCAAGCTATAAATACATAATCGCTCCAAATATGAAAGTCATTACTGACAGACTCCAAATCTAGCAGCAAGAGCAGCACCAGACCAAAGACTACTGAAAAATTTCCCGCCGGTGGTCCCCCCATGCTGTGCTAGCAGCACAAGACCACCTTTGCAAAACGTTTGTAAAGCCTGTAACAAAGTTCTGAAGCCACCGTCACTGAGATGTGCCCGTCCTTGGGTAAGAGAAAAAGTGGTTTCAGAAGGAAGACCTAGGCAATGCTTGTAAACCTGAGGGACTCTCAGTCTTTTGTAAATATGGAATATTCTTGTGGAGAAAGGGCAGGAGCAGGATGCAAGATTAGGAAAAACTAGAGCTTCCTGAGGTGGTCTTTGAGAGGCAGAAAGTTCAAAACAGAATGGGTGACGTGATTGCCAGAAGTGACAAAATGGCACTTGGAGCCTCTGTCTCTTCTTCCACCTGTTCAACCTTTCATATTTAAAAATGGCATCATTTTATTTCTTTTCATATCTCAGATGGAGCGTACTACAGTAAAACACAATTGCCAGTTACTCAAAAAAAAGAAAAAAAGCACAAGATGAAAGAGATGCTATAATTTTAGGTAAATAAATACAGACCAGGTTAAGTGACAAAAAGTTTCAAATGTGATATTCATTACTTTATCAATAGAAATTTCACCAGAGAAGATAAATCCAGTCCTGCCAGATCCATCCTGTCACCTAATCAGTCGAGTCACCTTTGTGGTCTTGCTTTATTCACTGTAAAATACAGTATCTTGGGGGATGTCTTATCTTTGTTATTATTGGTTGTTTTGATTTCTTTAAGACATCCAAATATGAATTATTAGAAGTATTAAGCAGGTATAATTTTCTGCAAAATGTTTCTAAAGTGTGTTGGGCAAGCCAGGATAAAAGCAAAGAAGATGGAAGAAGTGCAACACCTGAACCCAAGACCGAGTAAGTGAATTTCTGAACTTAGTCTATGCCTAGAGTAAAGGTCTACCCATTGCTATCATTTCGTATGAGAGAAATGGGAGAGGGTTTGGAACATACCAGAACAAGCAAACAAGCTTCGTAGATATAAATCACAATTTCAAGTTGAAGAACTTGTCTTCCCCAAGACATTCTTTCTAGTGCGACAAAGCAAAACTTGACTAGGCAGGTGATTATGCCTAGGGCAAAATCCATGCTGTAACTGTTAAAAAGGTATGAGAAAGAACTGCTGGAGCTCATTCCTTCCCCTCCCTTGACAAGTCTGGACTACACAAGAAGAACAACTAATACACTTGTCTAGTATTTTAAATATCAAAGTTACTACACTTGTTGCTGCTCTGAAAAAAAACACCTTAAGTAGAAACAAACTTTAGTCTCCCATGTTGTTGAATTCAACCTGGTAACAAGTAAGGTCCTTAATGTAGTAACTACACATGCACAAATGCATAATCCAATGATAGGGATGCGTATCACTAAGCTGGCAACAAGTCTTGCAAAATGACAAACCCTAGTGACCACTTACAGATTTATGGAGATTGTGCATGCTATCCTTATGCAGAGGGCAAATAATAAAACATGAACTATACTTCCAAAAAGATAAAGAAAATGGGTTTTCTGTGTAAAGCAGGATGGCTCAGTCGGAATTGCTATTGCACCTTCTCTCTTTTGTTAGATCGCGTAAGGGCCAAGTTACTTCTGTTACTGCGTGCAGGAATTCCCCTGAATGGGCCTGCTGTTGATGAGCAGCAGCACTTTCCTATTTCAAACCACTTCTCTGTGTAGAATAATTTCCTACAAACATCAATACTTCCCAGTCATAAGGAGAGAAGAATTATGAGCATTGATATCAACAGCTCCCTTCTGCTCTAAAAGGATTTCTATCTTTCTTAATTTCTCTAATGAGAATGAAACCTTCAATTCATTTTTTATACCGTGTTTTGCAACACAGACTTGCAGTTACCAGGTAAAGCCATTTAAATGCTGATATATTTTCATATTCCAAGAGCTTTAACAAATAGAATTATGCATGTCGCAGAAGAAAACCAGTAAGGATAATATGAATGCCAAGGGATTATTACAGAATAGTAAGATGTTGATACCTTCATTAGGAAGCATGTCAAATTCAGGCACAGAATAATCAGTTTTTAACTGGAATACTCTGGACTCTATTTTATTCATTAGTAGATTCTCATACTTTGATTGAGATCATGCAAATCTCTTAAGTAGAAGGCTGGAGAGCTTTTCTCTGAGTAAATTCATCTGGTTGGTAAGGATGTGACCTGGGACAATATTCTTACCTTTTTCAAATCAGAAGTGTTTGGAAGCTTAAAGTTCAGATTTCGGCGCAAAAATCTTCCAGTAGTTTCATGCATAAATACCAAGACATTTACAAGAAGACAACAAAATATTTTAATTTATGCCCCATACTATACAACTGTATAAAATACCAACTAAGCATTCATTTGAACATTAAAAAAAAAAATCAGAAAAAGCAAGCAGCACACTGTAGTAATGATAACAGAAGGTGGCACAAGCTAGGATATACAACCAGAAACACAGGCAGGTTACTCACAACCTGTGTTTACAATTACCATCAGAAGGTGAAACACTGTCATCATCCCAAGACTTCCACAGTTTCTAGTGCCCACCTTAACAGGTAGATGTCAGTGTACTAAAATGACAAAGACCATATTGGTATTTAACATTCTGTTCTTTTAATTGAAAGGTAGCAGTGCTTTCCTAGGATTGCTCGGAAACAGAACTGCAACTACCTGGGTTTCTAATGCAAAACTAATGCTTTGATTGGTACTCATGGAAGAATGGAGAAAGGAAAGAACAGGAATTATTCCGATGATGTTAAACTGAATGAAGTGAAATGCTGAGTCCAGCAGTAATTTGAGGAACATGGAAAAAAAATCTTGGCTTAAACTGCTTAAAGGCAGTTGTGGCAAACCTGCAAAGTTCCTCTCGATTTTATTTATTTTATGTGCTAATAAGCAGTACAAGTAACCAGCTGGTTGTTACACCTTAGTAACACAAAATAACCTTATGCACCCCTGTGTCCATCAAACATGGCTCCAGCAATAGGCAGCATTAGGACTTCTCAACACTGTTAAGATGGAGAGTGCCACTTGAGTAAGGTCCCAGACAGACAGCAAGTACTAGTGTTCACTTCAGTTGACAGGGCACACCAATCAAAACAAGATTCTAACTGCAAGTAGTACTAAAGTTCAATATATTCCTGCTCTCTGTAGTCACAGGATATCAATTTCTATTTTGCTTAGTATAATGACAGGCCTTCAATAACACTGGCATTTACACTGTGCCACAACTTGGAATGACTTCATTATACCTCTTACTTTTTTTAATATTTATTTAAAAAACAGGGTGCGAACCTGGGCATTTAAGTCAGTGTTTACTTCAAATGGCACAGAATGGATTTCTTTATATTAACTCCAGCTACAGAACTCATTCTCAGACCAGCTGTGGCAACAGCAAACCAAAGAACCACGGTTTGATTTCTAAAAACATGTTGAGAACCTTCAAACAACCCCTAAAACTGTGATATTTTCCCACAGATATCAGTTACTATGTCTTAAAAAAAAAAAAATACTGAAGCCTGTTTCAAAGTTAGGATCTCCATTTTAAAAAACAAGTAATAAAATACACTTCTGACATCTTTCTTTCTCTAAACTTGTATGTCAGGAGCTACTGTCTTTAAACACTACCATATAAAAAAACCCTAAAGCTTCTCCCACATATAACCCATTACTTAAGTATGCATCATTACTTGGCATTAAGCATTTCTAAATACCAGCTTATTTTGGAAGCAAAGCTAAGAAAGTTTATATTTATGGACAAAGCCAGTAGAAAAAGATACAAGTGTGCAGTTTGTAGAACAGTTCACATCAGGAATGAACAAGGAAAAGGCACTCCATCTCTCTTCACTGTTCTACACACTGTGTGCAATTTTTCAATCACCATTAAACCTTTGCTCACAACAATGCAGATTCACATACTGAGTAGAGTTCACATCTCTCCATTGCCATTTTTTTACTGAAAAATTACATTGCTGTGAATATACATTAGCTTTATTTATACATGTAAGAATACTTTTTTTCCAAATGAGAAAGTCAAAACTACTGAACAAATGTTATTGAAGATATAAATTATTTAAACTTAAATAATTTAAAATCAACTTATTTAAACAACTTTCCTATTGCACATTTTTCCATTACTTTGCCAGATAAAACCCTATATAGGCATTTAAAAGGTTAAAATTTTAAAAGCACAAGTTACATAGCACCAAAATAAGGTGCTGAAGACATGGTATGCCTGCTGGAAAAATGAGTGCCAGTAAAAACAAATATAAATATATATGTATATACACACCTAGTAGTAAGTCCAGGATGCTGAGATAATAAATACTTTAAACAATTTCCCAGATTTCCAGAAACATGTCAGAAACTATAGAAAATAATGCAAAGTTACTTTAGAAGACCAAGAAGACATGCACAAAAACTATTATAAGAAAAAAGTTTACAATTCCCATACTTTAATCTTTAAAACCACCTCTGTTATCGTTATGTACTCCACACAATGACTAGCCTATTAGTTTGAGGATTTCTGTGAGTCAGAACAAAGAAATCTTCCCCCAGTTGCTTTATAATGGAACAGCCTACAGTACTCCCAAAAAAATAAACCTAGTTTGTCCTGTTATGTCTCAAAAAATGTCGTCTTCTGCCTATCTTTCATTCCCAGTAATCTGGGAATACACTCATGACATCCATCAACCAGCAGCATCAAAAATAAGGATGAAACTTCCTATTTTTTTTTCTGAGCAAACTTATATTGGAATTTCTCCTGCTATAAGTGCTGCTGTTGCCACCAAACCTGTGACCTCTGTGACCTGCTGTTTCCACAATAAACGTTTCCCTTGCATATGTCTACTTGTAACCCTTGGAAAAACAACAGCAGTTCAACTTAAATGGGCAGGAGTATAATCTGGCCTTCTTGTCTGAATAATTTTTGGTTTGGGTTTCTTTGTTTCTTCTTCGACATCATTTTCCTGGTCACTCTCACATACGTGGACGACAACGCTAGGAGTAGTATCAGTTGCAGCGTGTAGCTCATACTTTTCTCCTGGAAGTCAAAATATTAGCAGAATTGGTTAAAAAGGATTCATCCTACAGAAAAGTATGAAAGAAGTTACTAAAAAGAAAGGAATACATAAAAATGTGTAAGTAATACAGTGATGATAGGAGGCTGATGCCACAATGCATTAGATGGTGCAGGCAGGTGCATTGCCAGTCTCATTTACCATCCAGAAGTATTCAGGTTCTGTTTTCAAAGCAACATAGCTCAGCTGCTCTCTTAAAAGCAAGTTTACGTAAATTACCCTGGGAATTCAAGAAAGCGTTCTACACGAGCAGTCATAAGTCTTCTTGATGGGTTTTTGTCATTAAAGCGTACAGGATTATCTATCCACTGTACCACATTCAGGAAGACTTTGTTTTCCTGAATGACGGCAAACCCACAGGATCTTCCTTCCCCCCAAAAGCTTTCAGTGTTAAGGAAGCTGGATGCAGTTCTTCCCACCTCACACAGAGGTGCTCTAACACTGTTCTGACATTCCATGGAGCATCAGAGCTAAACAGCAGGCTTCATGTGCATATACTGTGAAACACTCAGATATAATACAGCCAGTGTGTAGAAGTGTTATAATACAAATTTTATTGACCACTGATCTGAAATCTGTTTTTTTCCATAATATAAAGAATTACTTTTAAATCTAACCAGGTGTTAAATAATTTTAATCTTACATTAGTTCAGGGAGAGAGCAAACTATTTCTTTTCACCACTTCCCTGATCAGCTCCCTTTAATTTCTTTTCTTGTTACTTTATACTCATTACCTCCCAGCGGAAAGAACAGTCTCCATTAAGACCACTGCAGTGATTTGCAAATCAACTGTTCAAAAAAGCAAACACCTGTGGCAAGCAGCACACCCTAGTGTGCCAAGGCTCTGAAGTGGTCTCTGCTCTGTTTCCCAGAGAACTTTAGGAAGGCGAACTGGCACAAAGAGCAGATCCACAGAGGAAAAGGCTCTTGTCTCCAGTTCTTCAGAAACACACAAGCAATTGTGATAGAGTAACCCCTGCTTGCTCCTTGGTACCAAGTCATTGCCTACGTGTTCCAATGAACATCACAATCAAGAGACAGAGATCTATAGGGCTTAACATTCACAATATATATGAAAAAAAATCTCAAGAGAAAAGGGATCACAGGTGTGCCAATGAGCATACTGCAGGGCATCTCAGTAACAGAACTTTCAGGGGGAAAAAGGATCAACTTTTACTGCTTCGTAATTCCTTAAGTATTTATTTTAAGGCCTACAGGCTTCTTTTTGGTATTGCTAAAAGTTAAAAGGAAAGCTTGTAGTAAAGAAAGCAGCACCCATGGAACAAGCTCCAAACTTCCATAAAATCAGTAAGCTGTAGCGTTATTTATTTATTCATTCATTCCACATGTTTCATCAAAACCAACTTTTATTCTGACAAGCATAGTCTTATGGGACTTCAGTTTCAAAACCTGTTTTTATCAAAGATTTTATTTTCCTGAAATCATCTAGTATGTCAGCAATATTATTGATTGATTTTTTTAAAGACCTACATGCAGGCTCATCTGCTTAGTTTACATATTTCTGGATAAACAAATGATCTGTGGCAGCATTTTATACCTCTACTTCTAACTGATATCTTTTCTATAAATTGCTCTTGCCGTTATAATTGACATGCCATTTAAAAGATGGTATTTATTAAAAACTAGCAATAATCTACCCCAGTTTTCATGCCAGCATAAGCACAGATTTTTGTACCTCCACAAACTGCAAAGGGCTGAATCTTCACAGGTAAGAAGAATTCCCTAGTGGTTTGTGAGATGCACTGTATTTTCACTAGAATCTATCACCAGCATACAGTCAACCATAAACTACTACACAGAAAGCTGATGCATGAGGAGCTGAAAGTTCAGCCCTACCCACTTCTCCACACCTTACTATTGACATAATGAGACATGCTCCCTAAGCTGGTAGGTAGACGGGTATATAATAACACTATAGTAAAATGACTCAGACTACAGCTTTTATTTTCTTTGATACTGCTACTAAATGTGGCCATTTTTTCTCTCCCCTAAATTTAATAGCGCAGTTGCAAACAAGTTAAATCAGACTTGTAGATCTTGGGTTATATAATTTGCACCAATTATCATTAAGTTTGTCTTAACTGAGGTATCAAAAAATGTGAAAAGCAGAAGCATGTTTAACGTAAGAGTTCAGTTTAGTGGAACTTTACATCTGTTTCTGAAAGTAGCATTTGGTTTAACACACAAATAGCAGGTAGAACTTTCTCCTGTCTGTGGTGCTATCTATTTTTAACAAATAGACCTATAAACAGTCTACACAGCATAGTTAGCTGAAATCACAAGCAACTTATGGGATAGCATAAGAAATAAGGGATAAGTGTACATTCGTAACATCTCCTTTAGTTTGGATGGGGGTGAGGGGGAAGAGGAACCAGATATAAACATTTTTCTTTTCCAGGGTGAAGCTATCTCAAAGCTTCCAATAAATGAATAAATTGCAGCAGCAGAAAGTTAGGAGTAAGGAGTGGCAGAAACTTCTCCCTCAACTCCAGAAGAAAATTAGGTTCACACCGACAGCTTCCCTGCTACATATACTACTACCTCAGATGCAGAGGTAATTCTAGCACACAGCTGTTAACTGTTTCATTGTCTTAGTCGTGAGGAGGACTTCCCTATCCCTTCAAAAGGTATGTAACTACACAATTGCCTCTTCATTTCTAGAAAGCTGCTTCTTGAAAATTTAAGTGAACAAGCTAATAGATTATTGAAGCAACATTCATGCTCTCTACAAAATCACAAACCAGATCACACTGTGGAGGTCTGGGCCCTCCAAATGATCCTGTGGAATTACTATGTGTGTAAGAAACCACCATTTACCAATACTTTTTCTGATATTACAAATTTAATTGTTAAGATAGCAATCCATTTGGAAAGTTCTAGAAATTCAGGAAGTTTAAAAGAGGTTTTAATTTGACCAAAATTCTAGCATTTCTACTCCTTACCTGGTCCTAACTTGGAGATAGCATATAAAAGGTCATAGTTAATGACTGGGGTCGCATCTTCTACTTGCTTCCAATCAACAGGTGGAGAGGCAGGAGGTGAAATCAAAAACTGTTTGTCTGGATTTGGTGGTGCCAAATGTGAGCTTCCAATGTGCAAAGTCTGAAAAAAGCATAAAAACCAAAGCTGTTTCACTATTATCAATGAATCCATCATTCATGAGGAATTTTAAGGTTTGGATAGATGTTATGCTGTAACAGGCACTCAAGGTGGCAGCATGTAACTACATTATTGAAGAGAGCTATATGAAAGACCCAGTATACAAAATACAGACAAGCCACCACATTCATTGACTCTGATGAAACATGCAATGAAGTATGCACATCCGCATCTTCTCATTATGGGGTTTTACAAAAATTTCACCAGAAAATATCTGTCCTTAAAATACTGAAGTAGGAGGAAGCTGGATATGGGCTTTAAAGACCTAATGACAAATGTGTTGAAACTCATTACCACAAGTGAGAGTGGTGAGAATTCTAGAAGGTATATAAATAAACTGGCTCCTTCAGGACTGTCCCTAGGGACATCTGAAACAGACACACATAGATTAATTTTCCCATTAAATTTACGGAGGAAATTACACAGCAGCTACCAAAAAGCACCCAGATTACCAGAACCAGAGTTTCACATCTTTAGCATCAAATGCTAGCCAGCTATCGAGCTGCACTGATGGCGACCTCCAAGTACAAACGTGGGCTAAACAAATGATTTGCAGTAGCGAAAGCAGGATCAACAGGTAGAATCCCGAACATGCAGCTCTACACTGTGGATTCCCATAGATACTGCTTGAGCCTGCATGTGTGTGCGTGCGTGTGTACTATTGGCAGAGCACACTTGGCTTCCCCCACCCCGTTAAACTCTCTTTGACTACTCTTATTATTATCATCTACTCCCTTTCCCCAAGGTTATCAAAACAATACAGAGGGAGACATAAATGCAAAACACTCAACAGCCTCCAAATACTTGTAGCATTGGAACAACCTGTGATTCTCTAATCAAACTAGAAAAACTAACAGTGTTGATTAGCATGATTGAAGACCTGTGGAAGTTTATTACAAGTAAGTTAAACTTTACTACCTTGTAAGGATAATCACAAAGACGACTTACCTGAGCAAAATACAGTTTTATTTCTTTTCCAAGGAACTCTGTCTTGTGCAACTGAATTCTAGCATCTGCTGCAGATAAAGGGTTACTGAAATTTATTCGTACTCTTTTGAAGCTCTTAAAATACTGAAAGGTGATATCTCTGTCGTATGTTCTAAACAGTGATTCAAATTTGGCCTGAAAAGAAAGGACCAGAGAAGAAAGTGAATATGCAATACTCTGTTTTCTCTAAATACAGAAGTAAATTGCAGTTACTCGTACGGGCATATTACATCTTTAATATTGATGTATTTATAACAGCTTAGATTTAGTTTTCTTCTTCTCTTTTTTATAATTAATTTTTCTAACCTTTCATTTGTTTTCTAATAGTGAAAATAGCAGCTCTTTTCTTCCTTATTAAAAATAGATTATTATCATTAATAAGTGTTGGACATGGTACTCTGATTTAGTGACATAATAGGAATAGTATTGCTAAGAAATTGAAAAGAAATGCTTGTGTTCTAAAATTAATATCCAAAGGCCTTGAAAAATGTCTGCCAAGCATGCCTTTGTTTAAGCATACAATTATCAAGGAAACAAACACAACAGTTTTAATAAAGAAAAATGAAAAAAGCATATTTGCAAGCTAAATGTAATTTTCTTCAGTGACTCAGCATGCATAATAAAGTTCATTAACATCTCCTGTTTTAATAGCTGCAACTTTCATTTAGGAAAATGAGCATATTATTACTGAACTGTAGCTTAATAACCTCTTCTATTTCTGGAACCAAATTCTAAAAAGGCCCCACTACGTTTCCTATAAAAAAAAAAATAATCTTAAGTACTAACCATACAGCTCCTTAAGGCCTTTGACACAGTTTCTGTTTTGACTGTGTGGTAAGGGTAGGACTGGACCAAAACCTCATACCTTCATAGACCTGAAGCTGAGTTACTTTGCCATCCTATCTGTGTGAAAAGACTGAAGCACCTTTACCGATAGCTGGCTGTCTCCATTTTGTACTTTGGGTCTGTGCTCCTAGGGAGTCTATACAAACCCAACTTGGCTATTTTTCGTATCATTTACATGAAGAGTGCTTCCACTCTTACTTCAGGATGCTAGACCAAAGGAGGAAAAAGAAACAGTAGGTTCTGAAGCTGCCACACTCTTGCAAAGTGTTTCAGGCTCACATTGATAACACAGCAACCAGTCACAAGCCTTTTTTCAGTGATGGCAATAGATCAAGCATTCAGATTTCAGATATTTTCTCTTCATAAAAGCTTACCAGAAGTTCAACACAAAGCCAAAATAAACAAATATTTAAAATCACATTGCCTCATTTTTTTTTTACTGTTACATTTTGAATTAGTAGAAAAAAGCAACAAAGATTACATAAGGCAGCAATTACTTCAAAATTTCATTCTCCTTCCTGAAAAGCTCTGCTTCACAAACTCACCACAGCTGTGCACAGAACCACTATATTTCAAAGACATTTTAAAATGAGAGCTATTCTACTTCTTGCTGAGCCACACTTAAGCTTCTTCAAAACGAGACCTGAAACAAGACCAAGACCAACAAGGCACACAAAGTCTGTATTTGTTAGCCTCCTGTACTCCAGAGAGCTGGATGCAGCCATGAGAAGTAAGCCAAACCCACACTAAATTTCATTTCAAAGCTCACATTCAACATTTAAACTCAGAGAGTACCTGCAAGATTTGTGCAATATACAGTGTTTTAAAACACGTGTGATTATAGAGGTCATAAATGTCACACTAGCAATACGACACTAAACAAAACATTATTTTTGTCCTTAAGGTATCTTAGCAGTCAACAATTCACTGTATCAGGACTGAATTACTTATATTAATTCTAATCAGTTAAATATAAATCCTAGAGGACTTCTTATGGTTTTAAAATTGTGTTCTTAACTACACCGCCAGCCAAAAAAATCCCACGAAAGTGTAGTATAAATTATGTGCATCTTACTACCAAAATTCCAATCTAAACATTTGCTGAAAACACATATACAAGTGAAGAATACACTATACAGACAAAGAACTCTGGAAGTAAACTTCTGGTCATTTTCAAAAACACATAGCTTGAGATTTAATAATTTCCAGAGTTAGAGTCATTCATATCAGAGCAGACTGTTGCAGACTTGTAAGACCCAAGACCCTAACACCAAACCAAAATTTTCTTACAGGTCGAAAAGCTATCAAGGCATCTGTATTTTAAACAATTCGAAACAGCACCTATGTACTTCAATATTCCAGTAGTTCACAGAAATAAAGCACAAAACATAAAGCATACCCTTGTTTCTGCTTGATTGAAGACATCGCTATCTGCCACGCAGGCAATCAGAGAACTAAAACTGTAGTTAAAATTTCTAAAATGCATTTTGTGCTTTGCCAAAGTGATACGTGCTGTTCCGCAGAAACCAGTGACTTAAGGAAGCTGTTGGTCCTGCAGGCAGCGTTTATAAGGGAAACAAGTCCAGCCCCTCAAAAAAAAAAAAGGTAGGTTTCAGAGCATCCTGTGTGTGACAGCGAATTCCTGAACAAAGTCCTGCATGCTTTGAGGCAGTCAGGAACAAAATGTAAGCTGCGACTGGAAAGAGGTGACGTCAGCACATTAGTCAGCTTCCCTATGCTAATTACCAGCGCTCGGGAGGATGGAAAAAACAGCTGAGGTTTGCACAGCAGCTGCTTTATCAAGCCTCTTGCAGCATAGTTTCCACTGGTAGTAATTCCATTCAGTGCTCAGACAACATGCTCTTCACTGGAATGGGACAACCCATCTTAAGATGGAAAAAGTTACTGCTAAAGGACCAAAGTCTAGAGTAATAGGCTGTAATTAGCCAGGAGGAAAATTTCAAGACTTCGAAACGGAAAACAAATCCCTCAGGTCAATAGCTTTTGGTAATTTTGTGGAAAAAAATACATGGACTGAAATTCAGAGATTAGGAGGAATTTATTCAGGAAAATAATTCCACACACCTCCTTCCCTTAACAGTGAAAATTAATTTTGAAGCTTTCTTCAAAGCAACTATATGGACTAATTACCATTCTTACTTTATTAAAAATTCATTCCAAGCCTCATAAATAGTTGAGGTTTTTTGTTTTGGGATGGTTGGGGGTTGGTTTCTGAGGTTTTTCTGTTATGTTTAACAGGAGCTTCATTAGAAATCTGCTGGCAGGCTTTTTAGAGACAACCTGAACTACTGACAGCGGTGATGAGGTAAGAAACCTATATTACTGACATTTTCTGGTTTATTTGTATCCCCCTTTCAGAACATTTCCCAAAAAGTAGCACAGGACACAGGTTTTTGGGTGGGGTTTTTGTTGGGTTTGGGGATTTTTTTGTTTGTTTTACTTTTGTGTTTTGGTTTTTTCCTTTTTTTTTTTTTTAATCAATAACCTTTTAAAAAAATCATTAACATTTAAAGTAACTAAGTTTAAGCTGAAGCTTTTACAAGCTATTTGGAACGCTCCTATGCAGCTTCAGATCAAAATTTGTCATGAAGTAAAAATGATAAGTGCATTCAGTTCATTTCACTATAATAAGGGGCTATGACAGACGCATCAAGTTTTATGAAATGCTTGCAGACAACAGACAGTCACAAGTTTAAAACCTTATTTGATCGATATTTAATCATGCATAACTGTTCATATAAAGAGCTTTGTCTATTTCCATGGGCTCTACTTACTTGCTTAAAGTTAAGGACACTTATTATGCCTCAGGCCAAAATCTCCATTTAGTAGTCAAACTTTCTGCTACTGTAAAGTTACCTTAGCGTGAAAGACTGCTCAGGCCAACTTCCTAGCACCCTTCCCTAGAAGAAACTCTCACTTTAAAAATAAGCTCAGCTCAGGAAAAGTGAAGGTGCTCTGAAGGACAACTCAACAACTGGTGTAGATACCGTCAGTGAGATTAAACTCAATTCCAAAAGAAAATAATAGGTAACAAGCCTCCAATCCTCCAAGAGCACTCTAACATACTGGGTGTCTGAAGGACAGAAAGATAGGAAGGAACAGCAGCTCCTTTCCTCTCTACAACCTCCCAGGAAGATGGGATGCAGTGGCTATCCCGTCACTCAACACTGCCAAGATCTGGACTGGGCACACATACAGTGAGAACAGGTCTGAGTTCCCAAGCTCATGACCTGTACCCAGAAACACAGATACTTAGGAAGAAGATTCATAAACAGCCATAATGCCAAGCAGTGAACCACCTGAGCTCACACAAAAAATCATGCCAAGTATGTCTTGAATCCTGCCCCTGCCCTGGAATTAGGTCGTCAAGAGTCTTAAAGACTTAGGAAGTGGAAGCACCGAGCATGACTCCATAGACCGGCGGTCAGGATGCTCATCTGGAACATATGGCCATGAATCACCTGGGCATAAAAGGAAACCAGGCTTTCCACATCCTAGGTGAACGCTATAGCTAGTGATAAGAAACTAAAGAAGGTCCCCCCTTTAACCTGCTACTGGGTCAGTCATTTGGCATACTCTGAGGCTACCAAAGTGACTGCAGCATCTCTGTGGGTGACAGGTGGAAAGAATATTTCTTTTGTAGAGCGTCATAGGGCCTAGACAGGAGGCAGTTTAAGCTGCTCAACACAACGAAGCCTTTGGCAACCTAACTGCAGACCTTTACATAGCTAAGTATGGCAAAGCTTCCTAGCAGTACAGTGATTATGAAAGTCTTCAAAAGCCCTGTTTTGGACTTCACAGCTTAAAGTAGGACAGGTAGATCCTAGGCACTTGCATCCCTTTACCCCAGACTTACATTTTTATGCCCTGATCCCATGAAGAGTAAGACATTAAAAATACCTCTGATTAATAACCTCAAGACCACCTACACATTACTGAGACCCAAGGAAAATTACTTTACAAGTCTTACTACAGCCATCTTTCTAATATAACTTTGTCATCTAAACCAGGACTATAGCCTGCTGTATTACTGTGTAAGCTGTAAACAAACCATCTATTTTTGAGAACATTTAACACATCACAAAACAATTTTTTCACAGCATGTTCTCCAGATTTAAAATAAACATTGAGTGTCCTACTGATACACACTAGGTTTTTACTTTGCCCATTTAAAAGGACAAAGAAATAAGCTAGTCTTATTCTATTCTGTTTTATCATTCTCATCATTATTTTTGGTAAGGCTGTGTCAGCAGTCACTCTTAAAGAAACAATTCAGACAAACAAAAGAGATGGTTGCATACTAACACTCCATTCACAACACAGAATAAACCAAGAACTAATAATCTGGGGAAAAAAAGATTAAAAATTACTTTTAAATGGTCTAATATCCTTACTACTATGCTTGATTAGAACAAAAATGCAGTCTACAATGCCTCAACTAGTAGATTAAGTGAACTACCTTGAATTATTAGAAAACAAACTGAAGGACTTTTTCAAAAGAAAAAAAATTCTCACTACCCCTGCTTCATTTAAAGAAGTGTTATTTAAGTCAGCAGCATTATGTTGAGAGCCCTGAGATCTATTGTAGAAACCAAGAGTCAAAGTTACAAAACCACCATTACAAAATCCTGACAGTGTTGCAATGTTTTCTGTGGTGTTCAGGTCCCTGTAATATTTGTTAACCACATGCTAACGAACTGTCTGGTACAGGAACATGGCAAGACTATCAGAACTTCTGGATTTGATGTTCTGATACTATCAGAGTGCAGTTTTTCTTCTCCCTTGTCTTCAGAGAGGTCGCTGCTTTCCATCTTCTCTTTGAAACTCCCTAGTGACCTACAGAAAGAGAACAAGGGCAGGGAGATCACCTGCTTAAGATACATGCTGTCATCCAGGTACCAAAAAACATCTGGTACTCAAGAACAAAAACTTCATCAGTGCAACGGGATGCTGCCGTACTTTGGGCAACAAGAATCAGGGAAACCAAACAGGTAAGAATAGTATGACGTGACAACATGGTCAACCCTGCTTTCTCAGGTTTCACTTTTCCCTCAAAAGGTACAGATTCCAGGGCTCGAGTTTTAGAAGTTGAGTTCTAAAAATTGCAGACAAGATGTTTAACGAAGACCTAAAGTAAATTACTCTCTGACATCAATAGCACCTCTACTAGCAGCACTTCCCAGGCAGAGAAATTTAACAGAGACCATTTTTGGGTTATTTTTGGGGGTGAAAGGAGAAACAAGGAGTCAACTGAGTATATGGAATAGTGGGAACAAAGTGATTGAATGCCATAAGTAGTTCTATAATTTAATCTCCGCACGCAGTAAAATAGGTAGGCACAGAAGAGGAGGAAATGAGACCACAGAAGTAGAAAAATGGCAAGTCACAAAAATGACTGTTCATTGCCGATAACTACATTAGCAAAGCTAACAAACTGTGGAAGAAAATTAACATTAAAAGAAATGTGGTGGTAGTTCTGCAAGCTAATAAAATGATCACCTACAAGCTGTAAATCAGAACAATATAGTGCATATTCTCTCATCCCTGGCAGACTTTTACAATTGCCCTTGGAGGATGCTCTTTACATAATCCCTGTACTCCCACTATATACACTTGCTGATCTTTTGCTTTCCACATAAGAGTTTCTATTCCTGTCTTCATGTTTACTACCTTGCCTTAGCCCCTATTTACTACAGGGATAAACATCTTGAAGTTATCTAGAATGAATAATCACACTTACTGTTTTCATTTTCCTAGTGGTTGGGACAGGAGAGGAAGGGGCAGACAGTGAAGTAACAACAGCTTCCAGAGCTATGTGTATATGTCTAGGGCTGGTAAGCTGTACTCTGCATGCACTAGCACACACCTCAATTCAGGCAACCTTCTACCCGGCACAGTTCCATCAGCGCAGGAGCAGGGGCATGATGTGCCTGCATGGGACAGGCACACTGAAGGACAGAATGGGAAGAAGCTAATAAATGTTCCTTTCTAGAACTTAACACTCATGTAGAGCGTGGCTTCAGCATGCATTCAGGTAAAAAAAAAAACAAACCCAGAACTCAGACCCACCGAAAAAGGAATGAAGTTTAACATATGAAGAGCTAATGAGCACATGTCCTTAACAGTGTATTTTTCTCTACTGCCTTTAAGGATGCTCTGCAAACTAACACTGCTGTCAGAAAACAGTGATATTCTCCATCATTGGAAAGCCTTCTTTTTTGGGATTCAAAGAGTAGGTTGTTTTTATGTGGTGGTTTGTGTTGTGGGGCTTGTTTTGTTTCAAAACTTACTTGATGAGCAAGAGAAGTCACATCAATGTTGGCTAGCTCAAAGAGCCAGGAGTGAGGGCAGTGAGTTAAGTCAGTTGCCTTAAAATGTCCACACAGTTCTTAGTCTCATTTTACTAGCCAAAAATGAATCAACGCACACCACTCCCCTGGCCCCCCACAAGTTCCCTAAAACAAAGATGATGAAAGGAAATCTTGACATCATTTCTT